AGGAGTCTACAGTTCTTTCATTTCTATATGTCTGTGAATTTATTAAGAACTCTTTTAGATAATAATCAACCTGTCAAGTAGTTAGTGGCCTTTCATTGTGGTTTCAGTTCATATTTCTCTGATGCCTTCTTCTGAGTCTGCCCAAGTCATTTGTTGACTTTTTTTGTTGTTGTTGTTTTTCTGCTTTGAGACAGGGTTTCTTTGTGGCTTTGGAGGCTGTCCTGGAACTAGCTCTTGTAGACCAGGTGATCTCAACCTCATAGAGATCACCTGCCTCTGCCTCCCGAGTGATAGGATTAAAGGCGTGTGCCACCACCACCCAGCATTTGTTGACTTTTAATAGGTTTAGTGTTCTTGTTAATGAATAGCTTGCTGTCTTTATATATGTTGGATTTTAGTCCATTATATGATTCTTTCCTCACATAATAGGTCCTGATTATAGTTGCCACTCCCGCTACTCTTTGCAATTCCTCTCCACCTGCCCTTCCGCTCCCTTTCTGTTTCTCATTAGCAAAAAACAGGCTTCTAAGAGATAATAAGAAAAAAAAACATAACAAAGTAAAATGTAATATGAGAAACAAAAACCATCACACTAAATTTATACAAGGAAAATCGACAGAAGGAAAAGAGCCCCAAGAGAAAGCACAAGAATCAGAGACCCAGTCATTCGCACACTCAGGAGTCCCATAAAAACACTAAACTGAAAACTATACTATATATGCCAGGGACCTGGTGCAGATCCATGCAGGCTTCAATCTCTGTGAGTTCACATAAGTTCTGCTCAGTGGATTTAGTGAGCCTTGTTCTCCATCCCCTTTGCCTCGTATGCTTGTGTCTCCTCTTTTGTGGGTTTCCCTGAGCTATGGGGTGAAGGATTTGTTGGAGATAACACATTTAAAGCTGTGTGTTCCAAGGTCTCTCTGGGTGCTGTCTGGCTGTGGGCTTCTGTATTTGTTCCCATTTGCTGCAGGAGGAAGCTTCTCTAATGATGACTGAATAAGCACTGGAGACACTATCGATTTTTAAAGATCACTGTAGTGTCACAAACATTTACTGAATTCGTTTATTTCTAAAAATCTGTGCTGGGCATGATGACACACATCTTTAATTGCTGTTCTTGGAAGGCAGAAGCAGGCAGATTTCTGAGTTCAAAGCCAGCTTGGTCTCCAAATGAGGTTCCAGGTCAGCCATGGCTACAGTGAAACCCTTTCTCAAAACAAAAACACAGTGTGTGTGTGTGTGTGTGTGTGTGTGTGTGTAGAGAGAGACAGAAGAAGAAGAGGAAGAGGAAGAGAAAAAAAGTCTCTTTGGTGGGGGCCACAGGATTTCATATATGATCACATTTAGCAAAGACAAAGGATTTCATATATGATAACAGTTAGCAAAGACAAAGGATTTCACTTCTTGCATTCACATTTGATTCTCTCTCCTCTCCTATGGTATTAGAGTCTCCCATACTAGGTTGAACAGAATGCTTCGGAGTAAGCATCCTTGTCTCACTGCCTACCTGAGAGGGAAGGCTGTTAACTTTTTGCCTTAGGCTATGACACTAGCTGTGAGTTTGTCACATGTGACTTTTCTTCTTTTGAGGAACTCTCATTCTGTGCCAAAGTCATTAAGAGGTTTTATCAGGAAAATGAGTTGAATTTTCACAGAAGTTTTTAATACATCTTTTGAAGTGATTATATAGCTTTTGTATTGTTAGTATAGCAAATCACATTAGTTGATTTGTGTGTGTTGAGCCATCCTTGCACCTAGAGAATAAATCCTACATATCATGCTATTGAGCCTTTGAGGTGCTGTTGGAAACAGGGTCTTTGGGGGTTTGCATGTATGTTATTAGGAATGCTTGACTGCAGTTTGCTTTTCTGGGGACATCACTGGTTTTGGTCAAGTGATATAGGGATAGAGATGTGCCTCCTTCTTTCTTTAGTTTGCAGGAAGAGACTGAGAAATGCTATGACTGTTTTTTCTTCAAATGAATCAGCTATCAGACCATATGGTTCTGAGTTTTTCTTTAATTAGAGACTTTCAAACAGGTGATTCAATGCCCTTTCTCGTTATTGGCCTATTCAAATATCTCTTTCTTGTTTAAGTCTTGGTATGTTATGTGTTTCTATAAACTTACCTTTTCCTTAGTTGTCTAATAGTTGACTCATTCATTGTTCATAGTAAACTCTTAGAAACCTTTGTAGCTGTTATTAGTTATAAGGTCTCCCCATTAACTGTCAGTTTTTAGTACTTTTAAATTTCCATGTTGTCTAGTTAATCATTTTCCAGAACATCTAACTTTTCCAAAGTCCAGCTCTGTTGCTGAACTTTTCTATTGCTCTGTTATTGTGCAATCTGATTGTTTGCTCTCATTTTTACATCCCCCTTCTACTAACTTTGAAGTTAGACAGCTCCTGCTTTTTGAGTACATGAGAATATAGATTATTTATTTGATATTTTCTTCTCTTTCAATGTAGGCACATTACTATAAATATCACCCATAGAATTGATTTGGCTGCATCAGACCTTTTTATCCTCAGGGATCCTAGACCATAGAAAATGCAGACACAAATATGCAGTAACCTACTTATGTGGTTTCCTCTCCAGAATTAAAAGGTGAACCCTTAATAGGACTGAAGGGTTACTTGCATTTGTCACAGTCCCTCTATCTGCATTGTGTAGAGTGGGACATGAACTTCACTTGACTCCATCTTAAAGACAGAAGGAAATGATGTACAGTTCACCATTTAGAACTGTTCCAGACATACCCATGGTGTCAGACTTCTTCTACCTTATTGGTCTAGATGCTCTGACCAAAGCTGGCATATCCTAATCTCTGTGGTGGTACCAGAAGGACAGACAGTTTGGGTAACCATAAAGAATGGAGGGCTATCTCTGGCTATACAATTTGGAGAAATTCACCTTTTTAAAAATTCATTTAAATTTTGTTTTATAGAGACTAACAGTGCACAGACTGAGCTCAAATACTGATGGCTAAATTTTATATCTTTGTATCTCTTGATACATTTTTTGTTTTCCCCACATAGTAGAAAGCCCTCACTGTCCAGATAACTTCACTGAGAGTGTTAGGTCACTGTTCTCGATAGGTCACATTTTGACTGGCTTACGGTGTTGTGTCAGTGGTGATGTCTTCATCAATGTATGAAACCCTTTTCTGTACAGAAGAACCAGGAAGACTTGGCACTGGCAAAGAAAACGGTGGAGGTAAACAAAACCAAACAATGGAGGCAGGGAAGTGTCCCTAACTGAAGCATTATTTCACTTTATACTCATTTTTACTCCTGTCAGGCCTCTTGCCAACTTCTACCTAGGACATGCACTGCTCCCATCTCCATCACACATAAAATATCCATGTGGAAACCTGTTAGCTTAAAGAATTTTCCTCTATTCTAATACTGCTTCTCGCTTCACATTTTTTTGATAATCATAGCCGAAGAGAGGGAACCACTCTCAGAATAAATCTGAATTTTACATTCTATCCCTGATACTGAGAAGCACTCGAGAAAATGTGAGGTATGGAAAAGTCAACATTCCAAGCTTGAAGTGCTAGGCATCCTCACAGGTCTTGGGATCTTGTGGTGCTGGGTGGTCAGCACTGTTGTGTTGAGCAAATATGTGGTGTAGTATGGGAAGGAGAAAGAGACAGATGGTTCAGTTCATTGGGAGAGAGGCAGATCTGAAGAGGTGACGGTAGTGAGGAGCGGGCTGAGGCGGCTGGCTTGCTTGCCCCTCAGGGCCATGGGCTGCTGTGAGGGCCCCTGCTTGGGTTCATGGTCCTGCTGCAGCCAAGGTCTGTGCTGATGTCCACGACTCTTGATATCCCCGAAGACTGAGAGGATAGAGTTGTTCAGAGTTGCCCCCACCCTTCATAGATTGCAACACCAGGGAGATCCCACCCTGTCCCTCACTGGCTGCCGTGCTTGGGAGAGCAGAAACTGCATCTTGCCTGGAAAGCATAGTAGAGCTGGCCCTGTTGGCAGGGGCCTGGGAGAGCCAGCTCCAAGGGTGTGAACACGGAAGAGCTGGTCCCACTATTGACCTGTTACGCAGCAGCCTGGGTGAGGGAAAGATGCCTCTCCCTCACCCCTCACCACTTGCCAGCCGCTGCAGATAAGGAGCTGACCCTTCCCCATACCAGCTGCAGCACTCGGGATGTACTGGAAAGACAGAGGAGCAAGGTGGTCTTTTTCTGTAATTGTTTGGTTTTGAATTAATTTTGGGGAGCATGCTGCAGGAGTGAGGGGCAGATATAGAAGGAGTGGGAGGTGAGGGATATTGGGGTGCATAATGTGAAATTCCCAAAGAATCAATAAAGAATTGGTTTTAAAAAAGCTTCCCATTGTCAAAATTATTGACTAGGTGACATTACCCAGGCATCATCTATCTAACAGATATTTATTTAGTATTTACTGTAGGCACAGAATTCTCTCTCTCTCTGTCTCTGTCTCTGTCTCTCTGTCTCTCTCTCTCTCTCACACACACACACACACACACATACACACCTACCTAAATAGGTGGCTGACTTGTCACAGATAAAATGAGTACCACCCATATGTACTTTAGCTTATAGTTTGAGGGCTCAGCGCTAGCTGTAGAGGTGAGAACACTAGGCAGCAGGTCACACTGTGTCATAGTCAGAGAATGACTGAATAAACGCTGCCCAGCTCACTTTGTTCTTTCCCATTTTATTCAGCCCAGGGCCTAAAGAAGGCCATGATGCCACCCACATTCCATCATCGGTTGGGTTGGGTCTTCCCTCTTCAGGTAAACAGCTCTAAAAGTCCTCACAGGAATGCCCAGAATTCTTCTACGTAATGACAAATCTAGTCGAATCAGCAGTGGAGATTAATCAGCGTGGCTGAGGAGTAAAATAAACACAGGACTCCCTTGTAGAATGCACCAACCTCCATTATTTTCCTATTTCCTCCTGACAAAACCTCTCATTCACAGTATATTAGTTAATGCATTTTAATATACCTCTTTGAAAATGTTTTGGAGATATATTTTATTGTTTGTATTAATCATTTTAGACATACATTTTTAAAATTTGTAAATATTGGTGTTTGTTCCCACAGTAGGAAAAATAGTATAAAAAGAACTGTATACAAAAACAACACGGAAAGTAACGATTAGCTGTGCTTGCTTCTCCCTTCTCTTGGGTCCTCATCGCACATATGGTGTTGGTATAAGCCATACATTGAAGACTACAGAGTTAATTTGAAACCAATGCTACCTCCCTCTTCTTTGCTGCATCCAAATACTAAGTTATGCAGGTAATAAATATCTCATAAAAATTAGATGCTGGATACACGCTGGTTGAATTTAATGGTTGAATAGTGCTTTTCCCACTATTTCTTTTGTTCAACTATTAGCACAAATTCTGTGTGAATTTAGCAGTAAGCCAGTGTTGGGTATTTCCTAGCCCACATGAGCATGGCCACCATATGCTCTTCGAACTGCTGATTTCCAGCTATGCTGCATTCCAAAGCCATGTCACCAAAAGTGCTGATATTTTATGGATGAAATATCTAGGATTTTTTCCTATTAAAACATAGGAGGGAGTTTTGCACAGTGGCAGTATTGTAGCCAATGAGGTTTATCCAAGGTGTGATTACTGCTAATGAAAATATAGGGGTAGAGAGGAGACAAGAAATTATTATTTACCAATAACTAGTCAGCTGCGGAATGAATGCAAAAAGGCTCATGTGATTACATGCACTGTAAATCTGTTTGAAAATTTATCATTAAAAATCCAGGTACATGGAGGGACACTGAAAACTTCTACTGCTGCTTATTCTAAATGGTAAAAAATCTATCACCATGTTTGGGCACAAGTTTTTTCTCTAAAGAAATGCCAAATATAGTTTTCAGCACATCTTCTATTTCTTCCTCCTTCAGACTCTTGAACTCTACAAGATCTACATTGTCCTTGTAACTGAATCACCTATAGGTGAGGGTGCAGCCCACTAAACAGTGAACCCCTTCTGGGGTCTGCAAAGAACAAAATGATTTGCTTGTAAATACAGATGCTGGCGATGTCTGAAGGTAGGTATTCATAGACTCAAAGTCCTCAATAGTACGGGGTTCAAGAGTAAAAGAATAGATCTTTCTATATTTGTTCTTCTCAAGGAGGTCCGAGTTAACAAATGCTTGATTTGGAACATACTGTTCTCTTCTGATTTGGTCCAAGTACCAGGTTTCATTCTCTTCTGTCAAACGGAAGATGGCAGGAACTTGAGGATGGTCCTTTCCTGATACTAATTCAAGAGGCTCCCACATTTGGAGGGAACGTCCAAACCCAGCATCAACAATGTAGTTCCTATCACTGATGGTCACCTGTACTAGAAGGTGAATCATACCACTGCTGTACTTATTAGCTGGAGTGTTAAAGACATACCCTCCCAACATTGTGGTTTCAAAGCCCATTTTGGTCAGAGCCCAGTACAGGAGATGATTAACCTGGAGACACCACCCACCCCTCTTCTTCCGCACAATTTGATCAAAGATGGTCTCTAAGCTCAGTTCCATGGATTCCCCACAATGGATGTTCAAGTTCTCAAAGGGAATAGCTCGTATCTGGTGCTGAAGGATTTCAGTTAATGTTTGCAAGTCCAGTTTGTTCCTGGAGTTCTGATAACCAATCCTTTCAAAGTATGCTTCAATGTCCATGGTTCCCTAAGACAAGGAAAACAAAACAATCAAATATTACAACTTTTGCTTGTGGATTTACTGGAGTAGGATAATTACAGTTAAAACTCATTTTCAACAAATAAATGTAGATAATGCTTACAACTACCTATGTTTATCTTGCTCCTGTTATATGAACTGACACACAATCAACATTTGTAACACTTGGACAAGTGTTGACTTTTCTCAGTGACCCAGGATGAAGGTTTTCTCATTTCCTTGAAATACAGGTCTGGCTCACAATTTGCTTAGATGGGGGGGGGGTGCTCTGCACTCTTTTCTGTGCGTATTCAGGTACCAAGAAAAAAGCCAGACAAGGATAAACAGCAAAAATCTTCCAATCAGAATCCATTAAAATAGGCTTCTGAACAGTTGCTCATAGAATCAGGAAAATGGTGCAAAACAGTGCATAGCTGCCATGGTACCATTTACATAAGTGTAACGTCTAACACTCAGAGAGAACAAATGGAATTTAGGTAGATATCCCCAGCCCTGTTTGATTCCTTTTTTGGTATTTGTACTGAATCTGTGGGGAAGAGAGTAGAATGTGTGGTGGTTTATTTGTGACCATTTGTAACCTGACTGTTGCTTCCCCAGGACCGTAAGCAACATGGAAGATGGGAGAGGCCTTACAGTGAAAACAGAAATATTGGTATAAGCAATAGTGAGGTTTCGTTTTTTGTTTGGAGACTAGGTTTGAGTTGAAATTTACATTTAGTAACTGTAGATTCATCATAGTTACCTCAGTTTTTGCTAGGGGCTTAACATTAGCTATATGTTGTAAGTAAATCATACTTGGGTAATGTGTGACTAAATATATTTCAATTGTATATTGATGGAGCTGGGTAAAATTCAAGGTAAAATTTTGTGAGCTCCGAGAGTAGTTGGTAGGGAAGTAGATAAGTGAAAATATGATTAGGTTCACATGCAGACTAGCAGAGTCTCTCTGTAAGGACAGACCCTGCCTTCACCCTGATCATCAATGTAAACAGGGCTTAGACAAGACCAGTGAACACACTTAGATCCTTTGAGATTTCTTAGAAAGTACATTTTATATGCGTCAGTTCAAAGTAGGTTGTTGGCTTTAATTCAATGTCATGGTGTGTTTCTTTTCCCTGGTACAAACTCTAGAAAGGGAGGTTTAGGATGAAATATAACATGGGCTGGGAGGATGGCTTAGAGAGACGTGAGCACCTGACTTCAAGCTTGAAAACCTGAATTTGATCCTCCTATCTTCGAAGGGGGATGGAGAAAACCAGCTCCTACAAATTCTCAGCCCCAATGCCACGGTGGACAATCCCCAAGTAAATGTAGACTGCTAAATATAGTATTAATCTTCTCCAAAGAAAAGTGTAGTTTTGTATCATAAATTATGAAGAATCACACAACATTACAGAGTGCAGATAGCATTGAAGTGAATATCTGAGCTACATAGGGAAGCCCTTAGGAAGTATGATGTTAAGAGATAGTAGTACTATGATAGGTTCTAAGTCTGGGACTTTCTCATAAGTACCGGGCCCAGAAGCAACAAGGCACATCATTAGTTGCCATAGGAACAGCAAAGAGGATAAACCACGTTTGACATCCCTGATTACTATCTAAATATAGACTGCACACAGAAAGCAGTTTGTACAGTGGCCTTACTTGAGGCAACAACTACAGCAGGGGACTAAGGGCAAGAAAAGAAAGTGGCAATCTTAATAAGGATGATATCAGAGAAGGAGAGGGCACCTGTGTGGAAGGCATGCCACCAAAGGGTCTCCTGTCATATTTGATGCTCTCATCACTTCCGATAAGATAAAGTCAAAGTCCAATTATGGATGGACATTTCACTAGTCAAACTGGATTCCATAAAGAAATTAAGGGCAGAGACAATGTTGCACATGCATGATTAAATAAAGCAAAACAATGAATGAAAATATACCAAGACATCGGCACGAGGAGATGAGATATGATATGCATATCAAAAAGAACTTAACAAATGTACTACAAGTTCTTCAGAAGTGACAGATACAGCAACTGAACAATGTGGTTTATGCAAAGAAAGTTTTCAAACTTAGAAACTAATCAAGGACATAAAGCAATATATTACATTATGATGAACAGTACTCTCTAGATAGAACACAATAAAACATTGGGTATGTAGAAAGATAGCTTGATGGTCAGTCAAGGCTAATGGAAAAATAAAGCCATTTCAAAGCCAGCTAAATACTGACATGTATAAAAAAAACAAAATTTCTGAAATGGAAAGTGCAAAATTAGAATAGAAAAAATTTATGACGTTAGATATGTTCATATGAAAATTCTGTGGAAATCATATCAGAAAGAAAAATGAGGTAACATTCCAGGAAAAATTGAATTCTATGTGCATGACATGTGACTATATCTATTTCAGTTATTGAAATCTAAAATTATAAAGAGTTACTCAAGCATCTGGCAGAGAAATAAGTAGTTCTTCATCAGGAAGATATCAGTCTGGCAGCAAAATGTTCCACAGAAACACGCAATGGAACCATGTCTACCAAGTACTGAAGGGACACACTAGCCACGCTGGTTATTCTGTTGGCATCCACTGAATTAGAAAGTCAGTAGGCATGCAAAGACAATCTCAAATGTGAAAGAACTCGAGAAACAATGGTGAGCTATCCTGGTAAAGTGCTTCCTCTTTACCAGCCAGTGGAGAGGTAAATGAAAATGAGAGGCAGGAAGTAGAGACCACAGCACGATGGAATGCTACAAGCACTGGCGCTTTTTCCTACAGAGAAGAGTACAAAAGGGCTACACATTGAGACTTCCAGTCAAGCTACTTTGTCTTATAGAGAAATAGGTAGACATAAGTAAATCATAAAGCAAAACTTGAGAATTGACCAGAACTAGGAAGACCATTACAAATCAACAGAGCCATCCGATTCTGCAATAGCTAATGTGAGCTGACAATTCATGGGTTAGACCGCACAGACCTCAACGAGTTCAGTGTTCCAGTCGGGCTACGGCTGGTGAAAACTTTTCTAATATGCTCCGGGACATGAACAACGATCGTGTTTGATGAGATAAGGTAGAGAGTCCCCAGCTTGGTTGGCAGCTTCTAATAGGCAAAGTCTCTCGCTTTCATATACTGTTTATTCTGTGAACCACAAACCCCGGAGTCACCCAGTCCAAAGGCCACATGAAGGCTCTGTAACAGACGCTTAGCTGCTTTCTGTTGTCATGATTAATCAAGAATACACGTTAAGCAAACAACCCGAAGGAAGAAAGCTCTGTTTTGGATGGCAGTTTCAGGCGTGCCCCTCTATGGTGGGCTGGCTCCATCACTCTGGGTCTGTGCTGAGACAGAAGTATTGCGATGGCCAGGGAGCCAAGGCGAACATGCTCACCTCCTGGTGGCAAGAGAGAAAAAGAGGAAGGAGCCAGTGACAAGGTATCCTTATGGCACCCCTCGAGTGATGCATTTGCTCCAGCTACACCCCACCTCCTAAGAGCCCACTCAGCTGTGAACTCAGCCCACTGCTGAGGGGAAAACCTTCACAGCTACATCACTGGCAAATGGCACCAGCACCCGGGGATCAGCCTTCGGCATCTGAGGTACTCATGGGGACAATCTGTATCCAAACCTTAAGAAGAAATGAATCCCTAACCTAGATAACTTATCGACACACGAGGCAGAAATGCACACAGTAAAAAGGAATGGTAAATCCCAAGATGAGTTGGATTGCACTCCTCACCTAAAACGCCAAAAATACACTTAAGGAAACATGGGGCTGGTGAGATGGCGCCTTAAGTGAAGGCACTCTCTGACAGACAGACAATAACAATGGTAAGCAAAAGCAAAATTAAGTTTCAAATACACCGTGATTCACATGAAGCCCCTTACACATACTGCTCTCCACCATGAGTACAGAAGAACAAAGAGCATTGCATGCGTGTGCATCTAAAGAGCACATAGGAGCTTGGAGAAGACTGAAGACCAAGGTGAGCTTGTGAGGATCCTGTCAGTAATTTACTTAAATCTGTAGATTCTTTGTACCACTTCCACTATGCTATGCTTATACACACACACACACACACACACACACACACACACACACACACATATGCATATATATATATATGTATATATATATATATATCCCTGCACTCAATATTTTGAGGACTCCCCAGTCCCCAGCGGCTTCTGGGGCTCCCTTGCATCTTTTGCTGAAGGCTGTAAATGACACACATAAATAAGTGTCCTCCCAGCTGTGGACCAAGGACTCATTGGCATAAAGAGTCTTGACACAGCCTCCTTGCTCTTGTGTGGACAAACATGAGAGCTATAATCTATACAGGCAGAGCTGTATTTCCCCAGCACTTCCTTAGTTCCTTCGTACATGTAACTTGGCCCCAGCATCTGGTTTGGGGGAATTTGGGTTTGGCCATCTTCAAGTTTGTTCCATAGAACTGTGTATAAGAAGGTTAAAATTCACAAAGTAAGAGACTTATAGAAGGGTCTTCAGTGCCACAGGAGTCTCCCCGCTTTTTGCAAATCATAGAAATATTTACTTAGTCAAATGATCAATATGCAATAGTTATACCAGCTGCTGTCATTTGTCCCTAAGTGACACAGCCTTGTCCCTAAAGGTCACAAGTTGTCCTTTTAGATACCTACCCCCCACCCCAGAGAACAGGCTGCTGTATAGAACCCCTGTTGCTTAACTCCCAGTCTTCAGAACCTCTGCATTTTTTCATGTAAAGGAGTGATTTTCAATTGTTTTCACAAGAGAACGCCTTATTCTTTCCCCACATGGGCTTGTGAGAAAGAGGCCAACATAGAAAATCTAGAGGCTAATCCATAAGGAGAATGCCTCTGATAGGTAAGTGGCATCCCGTCAGGCTGGAAGTATGATATACCATTGAGAGCCACCATAGTTAGCCATTGCATGGACTGTTGGCAATACTCAATGAAGAGTTATAATGGGAACTAAGGAATTGCTTGTAATTTTGTAAGTGTAGTCCCTGCCCCCCCCCATTTCTTTACTTTTCTCTTTCATTTCTGCTCTGAAGTCCACAGTATCTAACTCTGTGGCCAACTCCAGGCAATCTCTTTGATTAACAGGATGGAAAAGACTAGACTGGCTGGCCTGGCTATATGCAAAGAGCACTAACTAGCTGCCCTTAGGTTATATGAAACTTCCATGGCATCAGTGCCTTCTGGTAAAGGCTTTCAGCAGCCAGACAAAGGCTGGGGATCATACCAGGAAAACACAAACAAAGGAAAGAGAAACAGGGCCACAGGTGGAAATGGCATGGCCACATAGTCTTTGGAAGTAGTCTTTGGCAGGTAGCTAAAATAAACAAACAAAAAAATCGCATTTTCTTTCTTTTCTCTTTTTGAAAGACAGGGTGGAGTTAGTTGCCTTGAGCCTGAGGCAGTCAAAGGAGGGGCTACAGAAAGGGCAGAACTGTTATTAAGAAAAGAGCGAAGCAATGTGGTTGACATCGTGCCCACAGTGCAGAACAGAGCAAGGGGTCCCCATGGGCAGCTAGCTCCTGGGACTCTTGTATAAGCTGGAGACTTTCTGCTGTGCAATCTTACAGTCTGTGTTCAGCGGCAACTTCTCAGTCTGGCTCCACAGGAAGTAGTTAACTTCTGGTGTTACTGACAGCTCCTAAAGACCCTTCAGATGAACCCTTCTTCAAGCATAACAGAAGTCCCTCCATGAATTCCTCTAGACGTGCAGTGGTCAGCATTGTTAAGAGAATCCACGGGGTGCACGCACGGGGGTGGGAGGGATGGGGGTGTCAATTAAGGATTTCCTAAGCTGTTAACACACCTCTTAATTCTCTCTCACAAACCCTTGAGTAGACACCATTACTATTTCACAAACCCTTGAGTAAGCAACACTACTGGTGTGTCCTTGACTGATAAGCAAACAGTATTAACGCAACTAAATGGCTCTAAAAGTCTTTTTAATAGAATATGCTGTGGCAGTCACTCACTTGAACAAAACATTTCTTACAAGTACCTGTGTACTACCAAGTATTTAGAGCATGGGATCCAAGTCTGTGCCACCCAAACTTTCTCAACAACCTGAGGACTGGAAACTCACGGTTGAGTTGTTCTGTTATCTCCTGGTCTTCCTCTCAGGAGAGGAGGAAACCCCGGGAGGACCCACTTACCCAGTTACTAGGACCGTAGGCAGAAACACCAGGAAGCAGAAACACTCCAAAGTCTGCAGAGGAAGTGCTTTCATTGGCTGTCCAAGTTGATCCGGCCCCTCTGCCTGGTTAAAGCTAACCCAAGGATCTCTGGGAAATGTAGTTGCAGGGCCATATCTGCCCCGGGTGAACTCTGTTTGAAAAGGAGTGAGGTATCTTGTGAAGGTCCTTAGCATTTCACAGTTTGTGCTCTCTGGGAGTCTGTGGGAGGTCAAAGCTTGAAAAGGGCTCAGGCAAAGCAGATTCAGGACGGAGAGGAGGGGATGGACACATCTCATTCACTTGCCCAGTTCAGGAGTCACCTTCCATCAGTTTCTGATTTCCTTTTTCTTTCGTCTCTTATCTTCAGGCCTTCTACTTATCTTGATTCCCAAGCAAGAGTCCAGGAAGGGAGGGGGCGGAGGATGTGTGACATCTGTAACACCAAAGCCAAGGTTTCCCTTAATGCACACCGGCACCAGGACTTCCTGTTAGCCAGGGACTGTGAAATGTGTATGACGTGTGTCCGAACATGTGCTGTAAACAGGACACACGTCATGTGATTGTACTTCTGCTGTTTTTGCTGTATATGAATGATACCGGCAGATGGTGCTTGCTGTTTCTTAGTTGTTTCCCGTACACTGTATTTTAAAGACTCCTCGTGGCAGAATCAGTCCTTTGTGTTACCCCCTTTGGCACACAGTTTTCTTATATTCTGGGTAGTCAGAATTTATTGCTACATATCAGCTTCTGGGGGCGGGGTCAGATGAGGAGGGGTGAGTTATAGAATCTATATGACCACTTTCTGCCTGCTCAGTCAGGTCACTCTGAGGCACGTTTTTCTCAGTGTGGCTCTGGGGGATTTTATTTCCTGTGTTGGTGACAACCATTTGTTGGCAAGCTGCTTGTATAGTTTTATACCTGCACAAGTACTCCCTGACTATCATATGGCTATAATCAATCAACCAACCAACCAAAACAAACTAAAATAAAACCAATACTTGTAATCCTAGCACTTGAGAAGAGAAGGTAGGACAATCAAGAACTCTAGGCCATCCTGAGTTCCTTAGCAGTTTGGGCTACATTAGACCATTCCCCTAAATACAAAACAAAACAAAAAAACTGACCCCTGCAGCAATGTAGCCTGTATCTTTGGGAATATCTTAGCCCTTGCTTTTTTGTTAACCTTAATATGATCATTACCAGGTGAAGACTGAAGAATACTGGACTATACAGTGTTAATCAGGCCCCTGACATTGGGATCTGCATGGAGGGGGTTATTCACCAGCACTCTGGACTGGACTACTGGGGAATAATGGGTTCATTGGAAGAGTTATTAGTGTCGTGGGAATACAGACTGACAGGCAACAGTAGGATTCCAAGGAGAGTTCAGGCCTTAGCTCCAAAGACAGACAGCATGGTGAGGTCTCTGAAGAGAGCAAGAGGCAGATGGTAGAAAAGGATTCTCTTCTTGTCCCTTTTGAAGATGGGGGAAGTTCTCAGCAAGGGCCAGCAGCCAGGATATCTTGATTTCCAAGCAGGAGTCTAGGAAGGGATGGGGCAGAGGATGTGTGACATCTGTAGCGCCAAAGTCAATGCTTCCCTTGATGTACACCGGCACCAAGACTTCCTGTTAGCCAGGGACTCACAGGTAAGGCACCTGTCAATCACCGTCTGTGGCTTTGCCGTGAAGGCCTCTGTTAGTATTGTGACCTAAATAGAGGCTAGATTCTAACAGGACAGTCTTAGAGAACGCAGTCAGAAAACACAAAGAACAGAGGAGTTAAAGATTTGGACTCTGCGGCATCATGCATGCAGTAGGCAGTGCACACTATTACAAGGTTTTAACAGGAGTGAAAAAAGATGGAAAAACTTAGAATTACCAACATTATTTATTCATTCCAGAACAAAAATACTTTCGTGTGTAGTAGTGCTGTAAACCACATTCTGGGCTTCTAGGATACTGGCCCAGTAGTCTAGCACTGAGAACTACGCCCCCAGCCCTACATTTGTGGTCTTTATGTATGGTACGGAATGGACAGGTCTCAAACTCAGTTTTACTTCTTGCATCAGATCCACAAATTCACCCACTAATGTGCGCAGGGTTTGAACTCCTAGATCCACTAAGAACCATGTTTGTTTGCTTGCTTGTTTCCTCTCAAGCTAAAGTGTAGCAGGGAGTAGAAGAATATAGCAGGGATGTTAAACTAGGATGAAAGGAACACACACCTCACAGATGACATATCTCTTACCATGTTCCAATGCTTCCAAGAAACCTTTGACTCATATTATATTAGCCAATACTATTTTAATGTATTTAGCAATAATATACTTCATAAACAATGTTTTTCAAGGTACCACACATTTTATGAGGTATAAATCACCTAATTCAAAATATCAGTGTTCCCATATCTTTAAGAAAAAGCCAAATATAAATGGAACTGTGTCTGTAATATTTACCCTGTAAATTCTAAGCCATATCGTTGCCTTGGCACCTACTTATCGAGCTCCATGCACTGGCTTGAGTTTTGTTTTGAGGACTAGGAAGTTTCCCGGAACTGAAATGATGGCTCATTCTGGTTTGCCTTATTCTGATCCTAAGTTGTGAAGGTGGCTTCTTGTAAACCTTGGACATCAGAATTACTCTGGCTAAATTTAATGCCTGCAGTTCTCTGTCTATTCATAGTCAATTACTCACATAAGTCTTATGTGAGTTCAACAATAGCATAATGTTTGAAGGTTTTCTATTACAAATGAATATAGTTCCCAAGTTAACTGCATCTTCACTAGGATATTTTTGTATGAGTAATCTTGAAAAGGATTGTGGCTATACCCATTAAATTTTTTATTTAATTATAACTGATTATATTTTTATTGGTGAAATAACAGGACAGCTACAATTGCTTTTTCATAAAATGTAGGAAGTAGAAGATACAAGTCATCAGCTGATCAACATCGAGCTGGGTGATGACTCTTTAAGGACTCCTATGAATATATTTGCATATGTCTCAAATGTTTAAGAACATGAAATAATAATGAAAAGCAGTTTTGCGCTTTACCCTAAATACTAAAAGATAGGTTACCATTTTTGGGCACAAACTTTCTCTCTAAAGAAACACCAAACGCAGTTTTCAGCACATCTTCTATTTCTTCCTCACTCACATTCTTAAACTCCACCAGATCTACATTTTCCTTATAACTGAATTTCCTCCTCGCAATAGTGGAGCCTATTAAGCAGCAAACCCCTTCTGAGGTTTGCAAGGAACAAAATGATGTGTTTACAAACACAGATACTGGAGATATCTGAAGGTAGGTATTCGCATATTCAAAATCCTCGATAGTGCGGGGTTGGAGAGTAAAAGAATAGATCTTTCGATATGTGTTCTTCTCAAGGAGGTCCGAGTTGACAAATTCTTGGTTTGGAACATGCTGCTCTCTTCTGATTTGGTCCAAGTACCAGGTTTCGTTCTCTTCTGTCAAACGGAAGATGGCAGGCACCTGAGGCTGGTCCTTCCCTGATGCTAATTCTACAGGCTCCCACATCTGGTAGGAGCCTCCATAGGCAGCATCAACAATGTAGTTCCTGTCACTGATGGTCACCTGCACTAGAAGGTGAATCATCTCACTGCTGTACTTACTGACAGGCACTATGTAAACATATCCTCCCAACATGGTGGTTTCAAAGCCCATTTGGGTCAGAGCCCAGTACAGGAGATGATTAACCTGGAGACACCACCCGCCCCGCTTCTTCCGCACAATTTGATCAAAAGTAGCCTCTAAGCCCAGGTCCATGGCTTCTCCACAGTGCATGTTGAGATTCTCAAAAGGAATTGTTCGCATCTGGTGCTGAAGAACTTCGGTTAGTGTGGCCAAATCCAATGTATAGACTGGGTTGTTATAACCGATCCTTTCGAAATAGGCTTCGATGTCCATGATCCCCTAAGACAAACAACATGAAACCAATCATACATTACAACAGCTCCTCCTGGACATCCTGGAGTTGGCTTACTCTGGCTAGAATGCACTGCTAGCATGAATAAATGAGCAATGCCTGTAAACAATTCAACAATCACATTGCTTCTAATGTATGACTTGTTTTCACATGCAGTTAATTAAATACTCTCAGTGACCCTTGAAGGAGATTTGTGTTATTTCTTGTGATTTTAAGATTTCGAAGTTAGAAAATCAGATTAAATGACCAGTCAAAAGACTAACAGCTTAGATGTAGTCTCCATGGTGGCAAATGGTAGACACTGCCACTGGGACCCTGCAAAATAAACTTCTAAGCAGTTATTCATTGTGTTGGTTTGAAGGAAAATGGCCCCCAGAGGGAGTGGCACTATTAGGAGGTGTGGTCTTGTTGGGGAAATTGTGTGGGGGAAATTGTGGGAATGAGCTCTGAGGTTTCTTTTTCTCAGGTTTCCCTCAGTGTGTCAGTCAGTCAGCTTCTTGCTGCCTTCTGGTCAAGATGCAGCCAGCACAACATCTACCTGCATGCTGTCATGCTCCCCATCATGATGGCAATGGACTGAACCTCTGAAACTGTAAGCCACCACCTTAATGAAATGTTTTCTTGGTAAGAGTTGCCATGGTCATGATGTCTCTTAACAGCAATAGAAACTCTAACTATAAGATAGTCATGAAAATGGGAGAATTATGTAATAGAGAACACAGTGGCCATGCATCACCCCATGTAACTGAATGTCATACAAAGCTTCCTACTCAAAGACTGACCAATCCATTCCTTCACTCAATGAATGGGTTAATGAATACCCTCTAGAGTCTCACTATTGATCTAGTGTTTTCTTGTCTTCCAAGATTATGCATTTTAGTGAGCATTAAAAAATACATAATGTGAACTGAGTAACTTTATTTTAAAATAAGCAATGTGGTAACTATCCACAAGAGTTTTGTTGTGAAATAATGTAGCCTCACTCGCACATGAAGGATGCTAGAGAACGGGCCCCATGAATACATGTGAGGAAGGTAGTCTCTAGCAGGAGCAACAGAAATCCAGAATGACTGGGCAAAAGGTGACAAGAATGGACTGAGATAAGCTCTCACTGTTACCAAAGTCTTTATGGCTAAGGGCGATCCTATGAGTTTTGCTGCAAATGAGATGAAGAGTGTAAATGATAGAAGCCTTTGAGGAGTGTTACACTGTGACAGTTTTAGCTAACCTGTGAATAGTGGGTTGTCTATAGCAACCACTCTCAATGATCAAATGCAGCCAGTAGTACCAGTTTAAACAACTACACTCTAGGACCGATGTTTGACTCATGGCATGCTTGTGGTTCGAATGCATCAGTGAGATGTTATTGAGAGACGTACAAACCTATTTGTTTATGAAAAAAGCAACAATAACAAAGAATATGTGAGAGAAAATGAAGGAATTAGTGCTAATGCTATTAGCTGTTAGGTAACCTGAACTCTCTACTCCCTAAAATCATTTCAATCAGTCTATCTAGAAGGTGTTTGGTAACCTGTTACCAAGGAGCCTTCATTTCCTAAGACTTTGAATATGATAGAAGAACACAGACCCTGAGATGAACCCCTTTACAATGTAGCACACTCTGACATGACACTGTACATAGGCCCTGACCCTCAGACCAATGGTGATAACCTAAACATTTATCTTTCACTTCATCCCAGAATCTTTTCTTTGTCACACAACTATCCTTCCCATATTGTCAGGGGTGATGTCTGCAACAGCTCCCTTAAATCATTAGCTCTGTTATGCCATCACCCACCCTTCTTTGGCATTTAGACAATCTCTAAAAAATCTATTATTCAGTCCTAGAAAGAACAAGTGGTGTTTATCAGAACATTCTAAGCTCTCCCTGGCCCCCAGCCCAGAATCTGTACTAAGTATGTTAGGAAGAGAGAGGACGTCTGAACTAAATGGGAAAAAGTATTTAGCCAGCATGCTTTCTATTAGGAAATCATATTTCTTATTAAAGTGCTATATTTATGTTTCAGGTTTTCATCTTCTCTATCCCTGTCTACTCCCTTCTTTCCCACTTCCCTCTTTCTCCATGCATCTCCTTTTTCATTAACAAAAGTCTTCTTTAAGATAAAATGCCAAACTGCAGAGTACTGATTGAAGCTCCATCAGGATGAAAATCGCTAGGGACCTCAATATTAGTGATATCTTGTAATCAATCCATATCTGGGCTATCCTGTGCCTAAGCATATTTTATTACACATTATTGAAGCTGAGATTTAAAATGAAATGCTGAAAACACTTATAAACCAGTTGCCAAGAAACTCATAAGGGAGACGCTGCTGGGTCCACATGATGACTTGCAGCATCTCTATAAACAACAGAATCCTTCCTTCCCACTTTCTCGTCAGTACAAGAAGACGGAACACATTAAGGGAGCCCACTGAGAGCTATCAGGCTCTTCATACTTGTCCTGGTGTGCTCAAAGTAGGCTGATTGTGAGGTTTAATTCAGACGTCTCAGGATGTTCCTTCTTCCTGGTGAAAACTGTAGAAATAATAAAAATAACTTCAAATATAGATAACATGGGTTTTCCTTTTTAAAAACATTATCTTCTTACTTCTGTGTGTCTGTGTGTAGCTGCTTGAGCTTATATGCACTACACGCCCACAGGCAGCTATGGACACAAGAAGAGGGCATCAGATGGTGAGCCACCTGATGTGGGTGCTGGGAACTGAACCCAAGTTCTCTGCAAGAACACTAACTCTGCAAGAGCTACTAACTGCTGAGTTATTCCTCCAGCCCCAACACAGTTTGTCTTAAAAACAAAAAGGTATTTTTTTGTGGTCCACAAGTTATGAGAAATCCCTAATTATTCTGAAGGGAGGGAGTTGACAAGACAGTAAGGTGGCATCTGACATACACAGGGACATTTATTCAAAGCATCATTGTGGGAGTTGATTACCATGACAGACTGGAAACTGTGAGGTCTAGAAATCACGAGTCATCTAGTGGTCAACCTGCTGACTAATTGCCATGGGACAGCAAGGATGGACACCAAAGCAGTAAGTAGCGATAGCATCTGGTCCTCCTGCAGAAGAAGGCTATATCTGGAGCAGGAAAGCACAGTAACATATTAACAGAGGTAGCAAAGGGAAGAATACTCTTTACGCAGAGAATCTCCACGAAAAAGTCTTTTGTCAGATTCATTCTCTTACCCTTCCTCTGACAAGACTGAGGAGTCCGAGCCTTAACAACAGCTAGACATCACAACAGTGGCAGCAGATCTGAGAAATAAATAAACACAGAGTTACGAAGACATGACTATAACGACAAGACAAATGAAAATACACTATGCTATTGGGGAAGGAAGACAAGACACACATGCCAAAAAAATATTTTCAAACCTAGAAAGACTAGAACTATTCATTAGAAGAGGAAACAGGACAATAGAAAGAACTTCCTTACAGGTATTTGACAGTAAAGAATCTTAATAAGCAAAAGTTAAAAATACTCAGATAAAAATAATATTTTGGGGCTAGGAGACTGTTCGGTCTGTAAAGGGCCTGCCACAAAAGCATAAGCCTGGACCTGAGTGCAAGTCCATAGCACTAGGAATGAATCTGTAACCCCAGTTATGGGGCAGGGTGGAGAAGAGATGGGAGATAGGTGGATGTTTGGTGTTCGCTGGCCAGTCAGCCTAACCAAATCGATGAGCTGCAGGTACAGAGAGAGACCTTGTCTCGAAAACAAAGGTCGACAGTGATTGAAGAAGACATCTGAGGCCAATCTCCGGTCTCTACACGCACACAGCACATGCCAAACGAATGCATACTTAAGCAAGAGGGGGTGGTAATTTTGTTTAGAGGTTTGGACTTCTCCACCCATAGTCCTATTGCTTTGAGTCTGAGGTGGCAAAACACAACACAGCAATTTGCGGTGTGGAAAACGGTTAATTTGTTCAATCTGGAAAGCAAAGATCGAGACAGGAAGGGACCATAATCCCCAAATCCTCTTCAAGAGTGCATCATCAGTGACTTGACAGCCTGTGACTTTCAAACATAGCACAAACCTGGAATAAAAACCCTAGCAATGTACTTTTGGACAGTGTTTATTTAAACTATGGTGTTTATCCCTCAGTCCCACATACTTATGTTCCTCTTAAAATGCAAAATTTATTTACTCCATATTATTAATTTTCCAGTATCACTTAAAAGTCCAAGTCAGACTTCTCTTCTGAGACTCCAGGCGGGCTGAACTGGGGACCTCTGTGCAAATTAAATGAGTTGCATGTTGATAAACAATGTCCAAGGGTTAGTGCTCTCATTGCAAAGGAAGGATATAGGGCAATAATAAAGAACAATGAAACCAAAGGGAGACCAACATTCCAGACGGACAAGGAGTAAGCCCTAATGTTACCAGCAAATCACACGTGTCGGCATACAGAACTGAGTCATGGGAAGGAAACCAGGTTTTATTAAGATACATTAGCCTTTACATAAGCATATTGCTTTCCTGAATGTTGACCAATATGCTGTCTTTTGATCAGAGGACATTCTGGTAGCAGAAAGGTTTCCACACCGATGATATGCAAAGACTACAAGACCTACCCAGGGGTTTTGAAAACTAAAGATGCCATTGATTGAAGTATTGTGACCAGTGTCTACACCTCCCTGTCCAGTTTCCCTGCACTAGCTGATTTGATTAATTGTTTTAAGTTATTTTAAGGACACTCTTTTACCAGAAAGGCTACATAGTCATGCATAGCTACTTGATGGTCATTTGGGCCGTCCAGGAGATATTTTTTTTCTCTTCAGTTGATTTAATCCTTTGGTTACAGATGACCCTTGTGGCCTGTAATCTTTCCTGTAAGATTTTTGTTAAACATTATTTTCATGCAAGCCAGGCATTCTTCTTTTAATTACAGAGCAGCATGGCAAGTCACTGGCTACTCGCTGGTGTTATGATTCATTAGTGTTATGAGCACGAGATGTTTCCAGAGGTTTCTAAAAAACTGATGCAATGTTACCTTTTAACTCCATCCATTAATATTTTAGCCATTCTTTACAAAGTTACAATATTGTGCAAAAAAACCTGAAAAACAGGAGGCAATTTTATGAAGCAGAGCTAATTTCAAACAAGGTGCCATAAAATACAGTGGTAACGTCCTCTTATAGTATATCTCCATATCCAGGATGTGGGCTCCTAGGGCTTGAGAAACCTCACACCTGTGGTCTTACTCTCTGGCCCACACCAGCATCTCCCGGAACAGCTTTGCTTGTGGTCTGCAGCTGCCACTCAGGTATTTTTAGTGCGGCTTCTCTAGCTTCCTGGGGGTCCAGAACAGTCAAGCTCCCCTGTAGCAGATCTATGAGACAGTCGGCTAGGCTCTGCTTACATCACTCCTTCCCCTGAACACAGTGCCTAGCCTCGCAGGACTTCCTTTGAAACGTGAATCGAAATCTTTATACCAGTGACTCTGCTATTTTTGTTTTTAAACGTGTGTGTGTGTGTGTGTGTGTGTGTGTGTGTGCAGGTGCACCTGTGTGTACCTGTGGAAGTCGGAGGACAACCCAGGGAAACTGCTTCTTTTCTGGAACTCAGATAATCAGGCATGGTGGCAGGCATCCCACCTCACCTACTCTATAATCTTGCTAGCCTAGATTCTTCCATTTTATTTGAGAAACCAGCATCACCTGCAAGATGATAAGATCTGCCACTGGTGCTCTTAGACCCACAGGTAGACTGAGTTTTCATTGACAGCAGTTTGAAAACATCATGAGGTAACCCAAGGAGGTTCCGGAGTGGCACAATTCCCTTCTTTTTTTTTTTTTCAAGATTATTATCTGAAGTGTTTATCTAATTATTCCTTATTGACCAGGTGGTGTTGGTGCACACCTTTTATCCCAGCACTAGGAAGGCAGAGGCAGGTAGATCCTTGTGAGTTCAAGGTCAACCCTGTTTACAGAGTGAGTTCTAGTACAAAGCTACACAGAGAAACCCTATCTCGAAAAACCAAAAAAAAGTTCTTTATCAATAAAAACTGTGGTGACATATTGTTTATGATTTAATAAAGCCACTGGAGATAGAATGCAAAGCTAGCCACATTGTTAGCTATAGAAAGCTGGGACTTATTTTATTAAAGCATTTTAAATGCCATATTCTGTAGGTCTTTGAAGTGTTTGAAAATTGCCTATATATATATATATATATATATATATATATCTGTATGACCTTGAAAATATACCTAGCTTGACTATAAGTTTGGTAGTTAAAGATGAACTATTAACCTGTATTTCTTTATTACCTTAAATAGCTTTCCATGACTAAAACTTTACATTTTAAATGAGCTGCATAGTACAATACTTTAAACAAGAATAAAAACATATATAAACCATAACAAAAGTAATCTTAAATTTGCATAAATATACAAAAGTACCTTAAACAAGAGTAGAAACATATATGCAGTATAACAAAAATAACCTTAAATTTGTATCAATATGCAGAAATCAATACCATTGTAAAATATTTGAGGCTAGTGGTTGTTTAAAAGTAGATTTAACAATCCACCCTTTTTATTTCATTATTTCTTTTTTGTTTCTTTCTTATTTTGATTTGGCTTTTCAATATTAGAGGCAACTCTTCACTTTTACAGCTTTGAGACTCAGAGGGTGGAGACCGAGCTCTTTCCAGAGAAGCCCCCAAGGCATCTTTCCTATGGTCCCAGGGAACTGATCGTGCTTGACTTCTTTTCATGAGAACCAAGAACTGTACCTCTTATTCATGAGACTTCATATGTGTGCCTGTTACAGCCCAATTGCAAGTTTTCCAAATCCTGCAGTTCTGTTTCTTAGTGAACTCACGTCTTCACTGTCTGGCTGCAATCAATAGGCAATATCTACATCACTTCCCAGAACTCTGTGCTGCCTTGAAATCTCCTTCATCTGGAGAACAATCCTGTCGCCTTCAAGCTCATCCTAACAGAACCCCTTGGGAGACCCTACGACATGGTGTGACACGGGTGGCCCAATCCCCAGTAGATTCTTCCCTTCTATCTGAAACCCCAGGAGCACATCACTGTCCACATTTCCATTTGTATCTGGCTCTTCTAAGACCACAATGATCACAAGTTAAGATCTGCTTGGAGAACTCTTGACATTTTCTAGATGCATCTCCAAACTCCCTGAAACTCTTTTATGAAACAAATCCAAGGACCTCTGAAACACATTGTTATAGTCACAGCAATGAATCCTCAACCCTGGGATTACAAAGTATCTGAGGTAGGCAATTAAAAAAAATAAAGGATGCTTTAATTTTGTTTCCTAGTTTCTAGCTGATAGTCAGTTGTCCCTGCTATGTTTGAGCCTACCATGAGCCAATTCTTCCTGACAGGTAGCATGCAGAGGAACAAACATCCATGGCCTTAGGGAAGGTGGAGGTCTCAGCATCTAGCTCAAGGGTGTGCTCACAGGACTCTACCATCTCCCAGTGGCAGAGTTGGCTTTGAACCACGAATTTAACACATTCACCTTTGGAAGACCACAGTGTCTCATGTTTAAGGGAAGCCTGATAATTACAGTGAAGGCTAATAAAAGGCAACTCCATGCCAGAGTTAGAAGAGAGGCAAAAAAAGACAAGCCCCTCCTCACCACCGAGGAGGAGAAACTAAAAGTGGGATGGAAACCGTATGCGAGGAGAAACAAATGCATGTCTGAAGTGGAGAAGAAAATGGAAGAAAGTTGTGCCTGATAAATAAGAGCGACACATTATGGAATAGAAATGCAAAAGGAAAGAGATCTGCCTGTGTTTGCAGCAGAGAGAGAGAGAGAGAGAGAGAGAGAGAGAGAGAGAGAGAGAGAGAGAGAGAGAGAGTGAGAGTACTTCATAAGGAAGAAACTCCCCACCTGGCACCAGAGTATTCCACAGCACATTTGGAGGTGAAACAATGAAACTGCATCTCCAAGGTATTGAAGGGAAGTTGCTGTCCTCAAGCACTTCCCTGTGAGTATGTCGCAGAGAGGAAGGGGGCAGCGTGCGTGCGAAGATCTCAGGTGTAACACAAGTGAGAAAGGCAGGAACTATAAGCTCTCCCAGTGAGACGCTTCCTCTTCCTTGCAGGGACCACAGCAAAGGACTGCTGTCAGTGGGGCAGTCACCACTCCTGCTGACAAGCCTCTTTGTCTCTGTTTTGTTTGTCTTTTGTTTTGTTTTTCGACACAGAGTTTCTCTGTATTGATTTGGAGGCTGTACTGGAACTCGTTCTGTAGACAAGGCTGGCTTCAAACTCACAGAGATCCGCCTGCCTCTGCCTCCCGAGTGTTGGGATTAAAAGTGTGCGCCACCAACGCCCAGCTACCTCTTTGTCTCTTAAAGAACAGAGAAGTCAAAATTGAGGTAGAAGAGACAGCTCAATGGTAAAGACCACTGGCTGTACAGGTCCTAGCATTCACTTAGCCACTCATAATCATCTATAATTCCAGTTCTATGGCATCTGATACCCTCTTTTGGCCTTAGCAGGTACCAGGCATGTACATGGTGTACAAATATGCATGCAGGTAAAAACACCCACATGCATAAAATAAAATAAAAATTAGGGGCTAGCAGTATAACTCTGATGAGTGCTTACCTAGGATGCACAAAGCCCTCACTTGCATCCCCAGCGTCGCAGAAACCAGGGATAGAAGCCTAGGCCTGTGATGCCACCATTCCCAAAGTGGAGATAGGAGGGTGAGAGGTTCAAGTTCATACTCAGGGAGTACAATGCCAGCCTGGCACCCGGGAAACCCACATCAAAACAAACAAAATCAAAATGAAACCCGAAGATCACAAATGGCCGGAACAAGAAAGCTCCGTTCCAGTACTGTCACACTGGAACTATCAAAAGATAAATGTAGGGACATTCAAATTAAATAGCTTATTTGAGTAGACAGCAATGGAGAAAGCAAGCCGGAAACATAGGTCCCGTGCAGTTCTACATTCCAAAGGGGCAGTGGCTGGAGACAACTTTCACAACACCCAGGCAACGCAAAGGAAATATATTCAGTTAATTAAAGTAGATGACCCTTAGATTCCAAGGCTTCTGACTGGAACCTCAGGCAGCATGAACTCTAGTGGCTTCTCAAAAATCCTGGAACAGAACTTACTCGGAGTAAGCTACGGCAGTGCGCGGTAATGGGTAGGTATAGTAAGATAGGGACATTTGGAGTTGTTCAAAAGTTGGCGAGAACATTCCTTGCCCAAAGCAATCACAAAACCCTTAAAAAGCATACAGAGGGACTCACATGAAACCATTTGGACCTACTGGCTTCCAGGACCGGCACAGCCAGTAAGCATTCAAGTATGTGCAGCCGGAACATTGAGGGCACCGGGGAATTGGGCGGAATTCAGGGTGGAGTCCTTGTTTGGACTGATGTGGGGGGAGGAGGATTTAGAGAAAGAAAACAGCAGTTCTGAAGAGGTCTGGGAAGCTTGTTCTGGTGGCCATCCTGCCCAGAACAGAGGACATGGGCCCCTTTGCTCTGGGGTTCTGCGCCTTGGAACACCCTTTGCCGCTATAGAATTCCGGACTTTGTCCAGGGCTGGCGCCATAGTCTGACTGAAAGGGAAGTTGATATTTTTTGGCACTGAGGCCTCCCAAAGGCCCTTCCTACTCTTCTGTCCAGCATGCTAGACCTTCACTGACAGCACAGGTGCACAATCTAACGAGGCTGGACATCTAGGACCGTCGGGGTATTTTTCTTCAGCTACTACAGGTTGAGCCAGAAGTGTTACCAGTTTGCTCCCTGTGCCCTTTGGGACTTTCGTGGGGACAGAGGACTGGTGGACATCAGTGTCAGAAGTTCCCTGAGGGAAATACAATTGCAACAGTTCTGTTACTATACCTACTTAATCCCGGCAACAAAGTTAGCACCTGCATTAGCTCTCATTTTACTGTTGGGAAACAGAGTTACTCAACTTCTCACTGGTAATATGTGTCCTGGCTGTGACTGTCACCAGACAGATTAAGCCAAGCAATCTTGCAAGCAATTCTCACCCTTCCTAATGCTGTGCTCTAATGTTGTGGCGACCCCGACCATAAAATTATTTTCGATACTACTTCATAACTGTAATTTTGCTACTGTCAGTATGCCATCCAAAGGGGTAGCAACCCCCACCCATGCTCTGTGTGAAATATTTACAGCATGAGCTTCCAAGTATGAACCACAGAACTTTCTGAACAACTGTAGAACTTGCCGTTCAGGCCGGGCTAGAATTCGGCTTCCTGGTCCTCCTGTGAAACCGGGTGAAGCTGGGCTTTCCGAAGTACTCGGCAGGTGGTCAGGCAGCCACGCAGCTCTGCTCACCGGCTACATCAGGCCTGCCACCAGGAAGTGGGGACGGCTGTCCTCTCCTAGCCAAGGTCTGCAGAGGCAGAGCTCATTGGCTGTCCAACTGCCCTGCCCCCATGGCTGCTTAGATTAACCCAGGGCTCTCTGGGAACTGTAGTTGCAGGGCCTCCTGGTTTCCTGCGAATGTGCTGAGGGTTCCACTGCCTGGTGATTCCCAAGTCTCAGGTGTCGCTGGATCTCTGACCTTCAGTTGTTCCTGCCCACTGTGAGCCTGAGATCAGACAGTTCCTGACCTTATGTGTAAGGTTAGAGCATGGGAAAGGTCCCCGCAAAGCAGGGCCCGCACCCAGAGTAGTGGGAGAGGTTGGTGTAGTTTATTCACACTACCAGCTGTGACCAGCTTGTTACTCCAGTTTTCATCTTTCTTCACAGTCCTGAACTCACTCTCATTTACTATCCGAAGGCACCTGCTAATGTAGGAGATAGATCTATGGCATCAGGGCCAGTTTGATCTGCCTGTATTTTCAAATTACAGTAAAGACATTAGTCTACAGTTCTTAATGTTTTCTTAGACATACCCATCTATGTTATATAGATGGAAATGTATATGTTTTATATACAGGATATATAAATACATGTAGTATTTATGTATAAATATTTGCCACGCCCACTGTGCAGCCTGTATCCAAGAATGTGGTGAGGGTGTCGGGATTGATGACACAGAGACCAGTCGGTTGCATTAAGAAAACTTTATGCTCCCCAAGAATGCTCAAGAGAACTTCCCAAGAAACGCTTCCCTCCAGAAAAGCTTCTGTCACACACACTTTTCCTCCTTCTGGCTGGTAGTTATGTCCCTGACACCAGAGTCGGCAGCAGCAGCAGAGGGCAGGAAGAGGCGGCTAGCCATTGGAAAGATCAAAGTCAGGGTGTTTCAGTGAGCGGAGCCCTTATCGGGAACTTATAGCTCCAGTAAACATTTCTTAGGGCACTGGATTGTTTTCAATAAACATGTTTTCAGTAAGCATTGTCTCACAGCTGCCTGCTCCCAGGCTGATGGGGGAAGTGGGCCTCCAGCCAAGGTCTGTTGTTCTCACAAATATTTATATAATGTTCATTATATATTTATATAAGGTATTATATTATATATTGTATATATAAATATAATTCATGCTGTCATACCAAAAATAGTTTTATTAGGGCATTTTAAAAACAAGATTTGTTGTTCTTGTTTCTCTTCTCTTTCCCATCTCCTTCCTCCCCTGTGGCCTCCCACACCCAGGAACTTCCCTTCCATCTTTCCCCCTCCTTTTCCTCGCTTCTCCCCCACTCCCTCCCCCCCCCCCGTTCCCTTCTATATACTCTCCTATATACTCTCAAAATCTATACCCACTGTCTCATCTTATTTACAGACACACAACCATTAAAAGTTTGGGTCTGCATATGAAAGAGCATGGATTTTTAATCTTTCTGAGAGGGAGTTAACCACATTTAATACAATACTTTGTATTTCTGCTTATTTCCCTGCAAATGATTCATAATTCTATTTTCTTTATATAATTCCATTGTGTAAGTATGCCACATCCATTTCTCTGTTGATTGGCATCAAGGCTGATTGCATTTCTTTGCTGTTGTGAATAGAGAATTAATAAATGAAGATGTGCAGATACCTCTTTGGTAAGATACAGAGTCCTTTAGTATGGCTCAAAACTGGTATAACAGGCCATATTTAACTAACCTCCATACTGACTTCTGAGCTTCTGTTTCCACTAGCAGTGGATAAGTGTCCTATTTATGAAAGAATTGATGCTTCTGGCATCAAATGTCGTGGGCATTCTTATCATTCCCCAGTGAATAACGTGGAACTCTCTACCACAATACTGTCTTGTGGGCTATGTCTGGCTACATCTAACAGACACACAAACGCATGCCCCCAAAGCAGCACCAAACCCAAAAATGAAGTGAGCTGTAGGACACACATCCCCATTTTCTTCCTGATCCGTTGGGCACATTCTGAGACTTGCATAGAACTTCCTCTTAGTGTTTTTCAGAGTGATTTTTGCCTCCTTTGTCAACAGATAACCTCCTACAGTGCACTCTTTGTAGAGCTGTTGATGCTGCCCTGGCCTCAGTGTCTCCTCCTCCACAAGTGCTTCCTTAAATCGCCTTCCAAAGAAGTTGCTTATTGCAAATTGCTCTCTGAGGGTGTAGTTTGTAGGGACTAAATTTTAGACTATTTATCTTTCCAATTAAGGACACTTGGGATATGCCCCTCCTCTACTTCCTGCAAACGTCTGTATGACGAATACGCTTTCACACATTCCTAGAAGTAAGCACAGGAATGTCTACGACATTCACCTAGAATGCTATCTACAAAAGGACTGAACATAGCTATATCAGTCAGCAACATCATGTTTCTACATTGTATAGAACAAGCCATATTTAAGCTATGGTTTGATGAAAACTTTTGATGAATTAGAAATTTGCAAATGTCTGCCAATAGTATATATCCAACACTATAGATAATGTAGTGATATTTTACTTTCAATTCTCTGGATGCTAGTGAATCTGAAGGGATTTTTACCTTACTAATGACCCATCTCATTTCCATGGTGTGTGTGTGTGTGTGTGTGTGTGTGTGTGTGTGCGTGTTTGTGTGTTCAGATAGAGTCTTACTGTAAAGCTCAGGCTTGCCCTGAGATTTAATCCTTTTGCCCTAACCCACAATGTATTGGGATTACAGGTGTGTGCCACTATGCTCAGCTTTTATTTCCTTGCATGAGCTAAGTGGCACAGTTAGCAACTTTCTGTAAATTACTCCAGATACATCATTGATGTGGGATGAATTAATTAACAAACATATCTGACCAGAAAACATTTCCCTAGTGCAGAGGCAGAGATAGGGCATGGAGAAAATGTTCTGGAATGTATGATTGGGATCTGGACAATTTTTGACCAAGTATTCAAGGTTATTTGATCAACATGTTGAGTCTAGAAATATGATACTTAAATTTTACCAACTTAAACTGGCACTATCACATTTTTAAATTCTAAATTTGGACCTCTGGTTATTACCAAAGTGAACAGCAAAAGCTGACAGGACATAGGGAGGGTGTCATCTCAGAAGGACAGTAGTTAGGACAGAGTAAGATCCAAGTCAAGGATCTCGGTGGCTGAGGACAGAAACACCTAGGCTACAGTACTGGGCTTTATCTGATCTTGAGCATTAAGCTGTCAGGTAGACTACTCGTTTAAACTTCCCAGATGGTCTTGAGTGCTACAATGATTTGAATGCAGAGGTAGAGTAGAGTTGTAAGGGCTCAAGCTGCCGATCACATCCTCTTCACCCCAGAAGTGGGCTACGGATGGCGGCAGGGAGATGATGGGCCTGCTGCTGCACTCCTTTAATCCTAGTGTAAGGGAGGATTGTGCATCCAAAACCAGCCTGGGCTATATAGCAAGACCCTGTGTCAACAGCAACAACTAAATACATGAAGACTATGCAGGATACCATGCTTATCTTTAAAAAGGAAGGAAGAGAGAAAGAAAGAAAGAATGGGAGGAAGGAAGGAAGGAAGGAAGAAAACAAAGTCTTAGAATTAGTCTACTTTAGATCCTAGCATACCCTAACCCCTTTTCATAGTAAAGGTATCAAGTTTGGTAGCTAGGTTTTGTTGTTTCACTTCTAATGGGAAAAGCATGATCCTTTTCGTCTTTAAAGGAGGACGACTTGTGAGAACACAAGCTCCATGCTGAAGACTTCTTGTTCAATACATCTAATTTAAAATTCGTGTCCCAGGAGATCTGGTTTCCATTCCAGTGGGTGGTTAGTGTTGCTCTTCTCTCCTCAGGGAAAACACTGACTAAACCAAGTCAACTACTCTCTGAGAGCAGTCAGCAAGCTGAGACGTGTCTGTCTCAGAAAGCAGACAGAGACAGATGAGGAATATACCTTATACTCTAACCTGTGATTAAAAAGTTCATGATTTATACAGTGCTGATGATTCCATTTTTAGGGTTCTTCAGTGTTGTTGCTTGCTGACTTGCTAAGGGCTCTGAGTAGGTAATCTTAAGAATTTAAACCTTCGGGGAAGGCAGCCAGTCTGTATGTGTAGCATCTCCATTCCCCTGTGCTCCCTTTCGAAGCTTCACTATGCTTTCATTGTGAAGACTTCCTCTCCTTGGGTTTGTGT